AACAACTACACTCTTCCATTTCTTATCAGACAAAAACTTTATAATAGAGAGAGCCTCATGTTTGAAGAATGGGAAGTAAGAGTCATTAGGTCAGGAATATATATGTCTCGAGGTTTTAATTGAGAAGAGAGGGATGGTAGGAGATAGATTAATTCAATTAGTCATAAAAAGTAGACTGAAACATGAAACTACTGTGTCTACAATCAGTTTCATAAATCAGCATGCATCTAAGATCTTAAGTATGTTTTTCCATATTTTGTCTTCTCCAACAACCAAATTTGGAAATCAAATGTGATTGGCCCAATATGTTGAGAAGTACAAAAAGAGTTCATGAGTAGTGATGACTTAATACAATATAACTTTGTAATATACACAGAATCACACAAACCATTATATGCCATCTGATGAAGTACATGGACTCCATGTTTGTTTGTTTATTGTGCACAGTTATACACACACACACCAAAATACTTCAAGACACTCTTTTGGCATATTCATATACCAATGTGAATCATTTACTAGGCTTTGAATAATGCATTGAAATCCAATTCTAAATAAAACACTTTATTTCTGTTGTGTGTGTGCTTGAGAATAGTTATTCCTATGAATATGTTTAATATTTCTTATGAAATGCTTGGTACATAAAGCGTTTCATATTTGAAACATGCACACACACATAATGGAATATATTGGTAGGATATTTCCAAGTTTAACATGAAAATTCATTTATGTTTTATATATAATTTTTAAATTTTATTTTATTTTGTGTATAAGGGTGTTTGGGCTGCATATATGTGTACCACTTGTAGGCCTGTGCCTGTGGAGAGGAAAAGAGGATATTGTGACCCTTAGTTCTTAAGTTACAGACTATTGTGAACCTCCCTGTGAATGCTGGGAATTGAACATGGGGTCTTTGGAAGAGCAGTTAAATAGGAGCACTCTCTTCTATTCTCATTCATACATTATTTACACATGCTTGCAAGCAGCACACACGTTTATAGTGCCTTTTTAAAATAAGGAACACTAATCACATGAGGTAATATGGAAGTTTTCACTTGTAGTTATGACCTTGGCACTCAGAAAGTTTTGTATTTTGGATAATTTCTGTTTCATGATCATTTATAATTAGGGATCCTCTGTGTGAATGAAATTATCTGAAAAGAATAATGTGATGCCTGAGTCTTGATTTAATCAAAGAAGTGTTCTAAACTTTGTTTAGCCATATTAGTGACAAACGATATTTTTCCATATTTCAATATTTATTTTGATAGATGAGTCAGTAAGCAGGAGATCCAATCACTAATGATTTGAGCGACTTATTTCTTAGTTTAGTCCCAATCAAGAAGAAATTGGATATTTTGTAATATGTGCATTGATTGCTTGAATTTAATCTGTCAGAGTTCAGAAGAAAATGGATAATCAAGGCTTAGAGATAAAACTCATTAGCATGTTTTTTATTTTTATTATTATTTTTTAGTATTCTTTTCTTAACAAACACAGGTACTACAGTAGCTTGTGAATTATGACAGTAATTTTTCAAACAGAAAAGTATGCAGAGGAATGGAAATATCTAAAGATATTCAAAGGTTCTCAAAGATAACACGGACACACGCACAAGTTTGTAAAAGCAGTGAAACTTTTGCACAGTATTTAAATAAGTTACTATAACATTTATGGTACACTTTCAAAAATTCACATGTATAAATTTTACCTATAAAATTCAGTGTTTTAATAAAGATTTTAAAAGACATAGTGAATATTGAAGAAATGATTTTATTTCTCAAACTAGTATTTATATGTTGGGAATGTAATTAATTTGTTAAAATTTCTGCCTGACCTATACCAAACCCTGAATCCTGAGCATTGCAAAAGAGAATGTGCTTGTAATAATAGCATTTTGGAGATGGAGGCCAAAGAATCAGAAATTCAAGGGTAATACTCAGTTATAATGCTAGTTTGAGGCCTATATAAGATACACATCACCTTCACAAAACAAAAATGATAACAGTAATATAATTTTCCTAAATGGAAGAAATGATTATTGATGAAGCAAGACACACCTCAAAACTGACTAAATTTTTCTTTATAAATGATTGCACAAATGAGCAGACTGTCAATCAAAGAACATTGTGAAAGCCATCTAACCATTACAACCTGAAACCAATATACCCAGAGACCAAGAAATGTTTTACTTTTTCACCTCTAAATGATGCTATGTATTCATTTATAAAGAATAAGGGATGCAATAGAACATTTTATCAAATATTTCCTTATGTCACAGATATGCATTGTGCAACTGGCCTCCTGCACTGGCCACTTTTCAACAAAATTCTGTAAATTTGATTTCTGAAAGTATAAGCTCTTTTCATAATAAAACAAATATCAGCACAAATACAAAAATGTTGGTTATAAACCATGCAAGAAGTTTCATATGTCCACAAAATTTCAAGTGGTTTGTTTGAAAGAGTGTATAGTTTGGAGTCCATAAATTAGAAACATATATCATCATAGTGGTAATAAATATTAATACCTATCCAATTCCTACTTCTATGATTTGGGGCTTGATGATACAATTAAATTCCGAAGTGCACACATTGTTATCTTTAATTAAGCTTTTACTCTCTCATGGAACCTACTTATAAACAGAACAAACTATAGAGCTTTGCCATTTCAACTTTTTTAAATGTAACAATATTCTGAAAACAAATATATATTATAAAGTTTCTTTAATAAATTATGCTTTCCAAAATGGAAATTTATTTAAAAAATAAAAGGTTCAAACATGAGATGTTAAAGTTCCATTCCTCACACAGAAAAGAAGTGGAAGATAAAAATAGTTTATATACAGACACACTATTAATGTTTTCAAAGAGGCCTGTCCTTTAAAAATACTTATGTTTAAATTAATAGTGAGTTTAGCAAAACATTCTTTGCTCTAAATATGAATGAGCACACATGGTTAGGTGAAAATTGTGTTTTAGAGTGACATGTTCTTAATGTCTAGCTATCCTGGGGGCAGTTGGTGGATGTTCCCTGAGCTTTCTCATATAATTCGGCTGCATATTGAAGTTTTACAGTATGTAATCCTGGATAGCTTAATGGGGGAAGGGAGAGGATCCTCTAGTTTTCATCCCATATTCTTTGACTGAGTGTAGAAACATTTCACTGAGATGAGGAAGGGGGCTTAATTCTTCCATTAGTTCATACATTTGGTAGTCTCCGACAAAACTAGAATTCAGCAGTACTGAAGGGATAGATAGGGAACAAGCACCGTGTCAGAGCAAAGGGAGTCAAAGTTCAAGTAAAGAGGACTCCCACCTAGCAGGAATCCTGCCTAGCCTTTTTTGACTGGCAGTTGCCAGGTCACAGATAGGATCTTGGTGAAGGGCCGCTGTCTTTTTGGATAACTGCAGGTTTTTACCAGGTCAGTCATATCTCTGAGAAATATAAATAAGGCATGATCTTCTACCCAAGAAAAGCCCTTGAAACCTTGCCCCTCCCTCTTTTATGCAGGTGGGGCACTGGGCTGAGGGATGGGAGTGGGGAATATAAAGCTTGCTGTCCTAGCTAGCTATGCATTTCTTGCTATTTAGGCTTCCTGGACTTGGTAATCTGCTTAAGTTTGAGAAGGGATTTCTGTGTCCTTTTGTCTGGTCTGCCTTCGGTGAGAATACCAGCAGAGGAAGCTTAAGAGGCAGTTTGCTGCCTCCATCCCTTGCCTCCAGCTAAGGGTCCATAAACCACTTCTGAGTGAGGGATGATCTATCTTCTTTTCCTGACTAAGTTATTCTTTTCTGCAACTACCCAAAGGCACACTACTTCTATTTCTCAATTTACAATGTTCCCCCTTCTATGCATAAATATGATTCCCTCCTTCATTCATTTCTTTTCTCCAGGTTGGAATATTCACCAATCCATTGGAGTAATCCGGGAACTTTCCACCTCCAAGCCAGGATTCTACAAAGGACAGGAACTCATGAACTCAGAAAAGCAGAGACAGCCTAGATGGGTGCAACCCCACTCTTTTGTATACTGAGTTGAATTTTCCTTTCATCTTGTGGCCAGGTGAACCTGGGCGGCCACACAACTGTGTCTTGGAGTTGGAGATGTCCACTGCAAGTTAGTCTGCCTCCATTCATAGCCATCAGGTCTGAACAGTTCCTCTCCAGGTGCACGCCCATCTTTCAATCCATATTGATTGAAAGTCTTTCAGGACAGTCAGTACATATCTTTAAAATATCTATGGAATCACCAAAGAAGTTCTGTCTTTCCTCTTATTCCCTGCTCGGGTCTACACTGTTTGTCCCCCAAGTCAGACCAAACACCTCTCAAAAAGAAAGTAAGATTCCATAAACTTTGCCTCCACAGACTTTCCTGCAGCGGTGCACCAAGGCTCACTTGCCTATACACAGGCAAAAATACATAAGACCAGGAAAACAGCGGATGAGGTAGTCAGCCAGTGGGCAACTATTAAGGGCACGTTAAAGTCGTTGCTGTAGCCAAAAAGGAATGCGCTGCGCTTAAGAGGCATCAAAAGAGGATTTTGAAATGTGCTTAGGGAAAAAAGACCATGAAATGATGAATATAAACACACAGACAGAAAGATACCTTTTACACCTGCTGTTAGCACACAGCAGTTCTCCCAGGAGGCGCACACTTTTGAGAGAAATCACTGTGGGTTGCACCGAATGTAATAAATATCCACAGATCATATATCTTTGGAACTGACAATCACTGCGTTCTATTGGACTTCTCCCTATGGTCACCATGAGCCCAACGCACTTAAGAATGGGGACTCTAGGCAGCCCAGAGCCCTCACCTTGGTGTGTAGAGTCCCCAAGACAGGTGCCAAGCGCTCCTCGGGTCAAGCAACAAGCGGACTGACTGGGGAAGGCCGACTGCCCTGCTACCCGCGCGGGTCATCTCTCCCCGCCCCCATCCCCAGCTGCCGCCTGGCCACTGGAGCGGAGGAGAAGGAGAAAGCCGAGTTAGACACTCACCCCTAGCTTCCTGCTGCGGATTTTCACGTAGCCCTGCTTGACTATGTCGTTAAAGTTGGAGGCCATGGCCAGCGCGGTCGGGCTCCTCTGCTAGGTGATCCGCTTCTTGGAGTCGTCAACCGCTGTCCACCGCCCGGTCCACGCAGGTCTCGCATCCAGCCGGCCGTCGCCGGCAGTCGCGCCACCGCCAGTTCTTCCCCAGGCTCCTGCCGGCGCGGACGCTGAGTCGATAGCAGGGCCGCCAAGCACCCGGACCAGGGAACCGGGCCCGAATCTGCTCAGCAGCACCAGCACCTTGAGAGCGGTCTTCACCTTCGCCCCCGACCACGAGGGGAGCACCGCGGCTAGCGCCGCCCCCAGCTGTGCCCCCCTCCGCGCCGCCGCCACCGGCAGCACCCACGGGCTGGC